AAGTAAGGCTTGCGACGTCACCAGAGGCTCAGGGCGCTGAAGTCACGTCTGACCCTGGGGTCCAGAAACTTCTTCAAGAGGCCCAAGTGGGCCGCACGGGCGCGGGGATCAACGCGGCGGCCGAAGGACCGCCACCTCGTGAGGCCTGGGAACCAGGACACGGCGTGGAAATGGAAGCCTCACCCATTCAGGCTCCGCTTCCTCCTCCCGCCAGGTCTCAGGCCCCTGGGGGCAACGTTCAGCGGCCTGTTCCCCCTCCCGGGCTGTTGCCCATCCCAGAGGAAGAAGTCGCTGACGCCACGGGTTCAGGTCCAGGGAGCGATACCAGGCCACCTACGGATTTATCTCGCTCTAGGCAGGTCAGTACCGAGGGAGGGGACGAAGAAGAAGAGTCACGACCGCACAAGTATATTCAAGTTGATCCGGAGGGGGCTGCCTTGCTCCCTCCGCTCTCGAGCGGTCCAGCGCAGGGTCAGTCTTCCAACTCCTCTTCCTCTCAGCCTCTCCCACCCCAACAGGCTCCAGAAGGAGGACGGCTGGAGGCCGAGCCTCAGCAGGCGTCCGTCATCGCTGATCCGGCAGCAGACTCCCGCATGGACGAGAGCCGTAGCGCCGGACAAGTCCCGGGTGATGGTGCACCCAGTGGGGAGTCCAATGTGCCAAGGCCGATTATGGATGGAACGGTTCTTCGGAACGAGATATTAGACTTGGGCATGAAACGTCAGGGTCAGCGTTTTTCGGTCACCAGGGGGGAGGACTTCAGAGGGGTCCCACCGGGGCGTGTTCGGACCCAGGTCCAAGAGCTGGAAGGTCGGCCGGAATCCAGGCCAGCGAGGCGCTCCAGGTCCCCTCCCCCTGAGCGGCCCCCGGGGTCCGCCATGGAAGACGTTCCTATGTCAGGCTTTCTTGAGATGAGTGACGCGAAGATAGATGCGCTTCTGGAAATGAGTGATGAGGAACTCGCGTCGTATATCAATGACGTGGAAAGAGCTTTAGACGAGGGGGGGTGGAGTGGCACCTGGGCGCAGTATCACAACGGCAATGCCAACTGTGAAGTTCTGCCCGGAGACTCGGGTGGCTTTTCTCTTTCACTGTTAGCTAATCGAGGGTGCGAGGTTCGTCTCAAAGACCTCACGCCCGAGGAAAAGAGGGAATTCGCCGCTTCCGACTTGCAGGAGTGGGAGGGGATCGCTGCCAACAAGTCCGTGAAAGTTCACGCTCCGGCCGAGGGGCGTCAACTTAGGCAGCTGTTTCCCAATCGGGTCGTCTCGAGCCGGATGGTCCGCCGCTGGAAACCCCAAGGCAGTGTCGGGGCCCGACCAAAGGCGAAGTCGCGCTGGTGCGTGAGGGGACACCAAGATGAGGACACCGCTGAACTCCAAGTTTATGCCCCTACGCCATCCATGGAATCTCTCATGCTGTTTCTGGCCATATCTCTCATGTATGGCTTAGAGGTCCATATAGGCGACATTAAGAACGCTTTTTGTCAGTCCGATCCGCTTAAGCGGCCCAGGGGGCGGGTTTTTGTGGAGCCCTGCGAGGGCTTGAACCTTCCGGCCGGAGCTCTCATTGAGCTCATTGCTCCTGTGTATGGGCTCGATGACGCCCCTCTCGCGTTTCACGAGACGTCGGCCAGGTTTCTAGAGGGACAAGGCTTCACGAGGGCCAAGTTGGAGCCCTGCTGGTTTTCCCGGAAGGAAAATGGTCGCCTAGTCGCGCAGGTGCCGCTGGAGGTTGACGACTGGGCTATCGCTTTCCCTCCGGGTCAACAGAACAAGTGTTTGACCGAGTTTAAGAAGCGCTTCACGTTCGGAAAAATGGAGAAACTCGACGAGGCCGGAGTTGAGTACATCGGTCGAAGGCTTCGACTCGTGGGACACGGTACCGCCACACCGCGCATTCTCGTGGACCAGGAAAAATACATTCTCGAGCAGGTCCGCAAGATACCGCTGTCAAGGGGGCGTCGTGGGGATCACTCCAGTCCCCTGGTTGGGACGGAGGTGGCGGAGTTCCGAAGCCCGGTTTACAAATTGAATTGGGTTGGACGGGAATCCCGTGCTGAGGCTGCCGGCTGCGCGTCTATTCTAGCGACCAAAGTGAACTCACCATGCGTCAGAGACCTGGTCGAGGCACATAAGATGGTGGATCACCTTAGGTCCACGGCCAGCATGCCCGTGATAATTCACAAGTTCGACCCCTCCCGCTGCATTTTCGCGACGGCCAGCGACTGCGGAGGAGTCGGCTCGGATGACTGCATGTTCCCACAGCAAGCATGGCAGGTCTATTTAGCAGACAATGCTTTAGCGCACGGTCAACGTGCGAGGGCCACCCCCTAGCTTGGAGATCATGCCGAGTCAAGCGCCAGGTGGCGAGCACTCTCGCAGGAGAGACGCTGGCGCTTTCTGGAGCTCTTGCTGAAGCTCAGTGGCTTCATCTCATGTTCGAAGATGTTGTGAGAGGGAACGTGGTGTCAGAAGCATGGCAGGGGAAAGTCGGCCCCTTTGCGGCCATTTTGAAGGAAGACTGCCAGCTGATCGCTCACTCGCCCTCGGAGTGTGTCAGCATAGTCGACGCCAAGGGAATATATGATACCCTCAGCAAGCTATCAAATGGTTCTCGATCCGATCGTCGGGCCGCGATCGACCTCGCGGTCGTTCGGGATATCATGCAAGAGGTCGGGAGCGTGATTCGTTGGATGCCGCACCCGTTACTTCTGGTCGATTGCATGACGAAATCGGACCTTGCCAAAACCAACGCGGCTCAATATGAGCTGCTCCGCTCTGGGTGTTTGCGTCTCTCGGCGGAAAGCGGGGCCCTCGAGGGCCGGCGCGAGGACCCCCGTAAGAAAGGCCGCTCCAGAGCCGAATCCCAGAGGCAACTCCAGCAGCAGGAGAACGATGGCAAGGCCAGTGCTGTTCAGCCGTGCCATGCCGAGCGACAGTCGTCACAGTCTGGCGGGACATGGCCGGTGCACGTCTCTCGAGGGTCGTCAGGGCCGAGCGAGATATCAGTGACCAGCCAGGCCGGAGCGAAGTCGTCAGGACTCGCTGCGGCATGACGGCAGCAGCAGTATTTACACAAATGGCACTAGAGTGCCCATTCCTCTCTCTCCAAGATGGTGCGATCCATTGGCTCAGAGGAGGGCCACGGTGCCTTCGCGACCTATCAAGCTCACTGTTTGTCGGGGTACTGTGTGATTTGAGTCTAGAGGCCGGTGGTTTTCAAGGCCGATGCCCCTGCTAGACTTTCTGAGCTTGAAGGTCACGAGCATGGGTCGTAACCATTTTGGCTCAAGACCCAACTTCCACTCATTCCTCATCACTCATACCATATCCACTCTACCCCTCTTCCTTTCCCATACCGTCCCGCGCCTTGTTTGTACAGCGTTGGGAGCTGTGTACTGAGAAGAGAGTGCGAGGGCTCTCTCGCTGGAGAAAAGATCCGACACTTTGGCTTCACTGCTGTCGTCCGCCGGGCGACACCTCTTGGGGCCTCCTGGGAGGCTTCCTGGGAGGCTTCTTGTGGGCCTCTGGGGAGCCTCTTGGCGGCCTCTGACAGATCTCCTGGGAGCATATTGGGGGCCTCTTGGGCCGTCTCGGGGGCCAAGGGACAAGCGTTTCGGGGCCGCCTTGGAAGTATATTGGGCCCTTTTGTGGCCATCTTTGGGGCTTCTGGGGCCGCCTTGGGAAAGCAAAGGCGAGAACGCGAAAAAGCAAGAACGCAACCACCTTCCAACACACAAGCGAAATCAATGAATTTGGCGTCCTGGCGGCCTCCTGGAGTTCCTCATGAAGCCCTCTCGGGGCGTATTCTGGGCATCTTATGCCGTCTTGAGGCCAGCATGGGCCGTCGTGTAGCAATATTGGGCCGTCTTGGAGGCATCTTGGGCCCATATTGAGCCACATTGGGGCCATCGTGGCCGTCGTGGAGGTGTGTTGAAACCGTTTGGGAGGCCATGTTGAGCCACCCAGGCCCTTTTGACACCATCTTGGTACCATATTGGACGGAAAGGCCGACGAGATCCACTTGTTGGGATGGTGGCGGGTTGGGCCCAGATCCCATTGGGAACCTTCCCGAGCGCCAACAAAGGCCATAAGATTTGGCAAGCCAACACCAATCCGCAGGCTATGGGGGCAACGGATCTATTGGCATCCTGCACATCCCACCATCGTGCCCAGGTCATGGACAAGAAGCTTGCTAGAGGCTTCTTGGTCTCTTGGGAAGCCTCTCGAGAGCAACTTGGAGGCAGTTTGGGAGCCTCTTGGGGGATATTGGGGACGCCTTGACAGCATTTTGGGGTCTCGTGGAGGCCTGCTGGCGGCCTCAGCGGCCCTCGTTTAGGAGAAGGCTCGAACTGTCAGTGCGGGTTCCCCCTAATGGGCCCCTCTTGGAGCCCTCTGGAGGCGTCTTGTGGGCCTTTTGGGGCCCATTGGGGCCGAGACCATCGTGGGCCCTCCTGGGCCGACTCGGGCTTGGGACCCGTTGGGGCCGTGTCGGCGCCCTCCGGCCTTTGGGAGAGTCACGCCGTGCGCTCCAAAGCGCACGCGACCAGCCCCAAAAGCCACGCGAGCAGCCCCAGAAGTTGAGGAACTGGGGCCGGGACCCCTCAAAGAGCATTACAATCCTGGATGCAGAGGACTCAAATGGACCTGTCCACTCAGTGCCGACGGCACGGTGGCAGATACATCCCCGATGGCCATGTGCAATGTGCGAGAGTTGTGGTTCTTATTCGAGCGGCTCTGGCATGTCCAAGGCGGCCTTCCTTGTCTGAAACACGGACCAAGCCGCATGGCCTTGTGATGATTGTCATTGCTATCCTCATAAGCATTACCGGATTGATTCCATCATTATGATCACGACATTTTACATAGAAATTGGATATGTTATTATTCTCGCGGTAATCACGGTGAACATCAAAATGTGCAGCATGTTTCTTTGCACCAATTTGGGCTCAAGCGGTGCAATGCGAGTGAGAGAGGTAGCGCAATCCAGCTAGCTATATGCCGCACCTTCCCCTCAGCTCACAGAATTCACCGCAGATGCCATCCGCAGTGGCGTATGAGCCATGTTGGCTGCCAGCTCGTGGCCCTGGGCCAGCACTGGCGCTTCCCATGACGCCAACCTCGAGCCACGCAACGGCGACGCCACATCAGCCAGCAAACGGCGGCGCTTGGCCTCAGGTTTCCAAACTCTTCGCTGTAACACCAGCAGCGCCGCTGCCACCCTCTACGCCGTGTCCTCTGATGACTGACCCCTCTGACAACAGAGCCGAAGAGCCCACAGCTGGCCAGCGGCCCGCAGGCGGAATGGGCTTGTTATTGTTTCCTCTCTGCTGTCCCCCTTTCTTGCATGATTCGCGCCTTTCGGGTGGATTCGTTGTTGTTCTCTCGAAGAGCTCCCTCGGCTGGCACAGGGAGTACCTTCAGGAATGTGGTTTCATGTCTCTCGCGTTCCTCCCCCAACCCGGAGCTGTTTCCCCTTCTCAGAGCATCTGTTGCCTCGAAGGTTCGACTTGGCCCCGAAGGTTTGATCTGTTATCTGCCCCCTGTAAGTTGCTGTCCACCCTAATTAGGTTTTTGCATTTTTTTGTTCCCGGGATTAGGGTAGCTGAGAAAAGAAGGGGCAGCTTCCCCAGATGGTGATATTTGTTGCAAACACACACACACACACACACACATACACACACACACACACACACACGCATACTTTGTGCGTCGGCGGCTGGGCAGAGGGCGACTGCTCCAGCGAATAGGCAACAGGGGACACGCTGTATGCAAATTAGGGCCGCAAAGCACGGAAGGAGGAAGGGGAGCCCCGGCGCGACGGGAACAGAGGAAACAGGGCCAGTTAGAGTTGCCGGCTGCGGCGGGGGGAGCGCGGGGGGTGGGAGCAGCGCCGGCACAGGCTGTATTGAATTGCACTGAGTTGAAGCGGGGGGGAGCAGCCAGGAGCTGCAGTCGGTGGTGAAGATAAACGAAGTGTAGCCCAACCAGGTGGACCGAGCACAGTCCAGGGATGAGCCTGCGCCGAGACCGGCGGGCCTGCAAGGCGCGTGCGAGGATATGGGGAAGGCCAGGACGCGCCAGCCCCAGCTGCAGGTATTGCGCCGCGGGCACAATGGCGGGTGCAGGACGGCACAGAGCTGGATGTGGCTGAAGCAGGTGCCGAGCGGCACAGAGCAGTAGCAGAGGAAAGGCAGTCATGGGGACGGTGCCCAACCCAGTGGACCAAGGCGCGGTCCAAGGATGAGTCGAAGCGCCGAGCCTTGCGGGCCTGCGAGGCGCGGGCGTGAGGGGCGGAAGGCTGGGCTGGCACCGCTCAGGCAGAGCAGAACGAGAGCGGCCAAAGAAAGGCGGCGGAAGGGCGGGAAAGACGAGCGCGCAGAACTTCGACCGCGCCGACGGGAAGGAACCCCGACATCGGCAACGGTGGGAAGCGCCGAGATCAGGCAGAGCAAGCGCGGAATTAGGGACGGCCCGGCGGGGCGCGGCGCGGCACCCAGGGCAAAGAAGGAGCAGGGCACCGCCACGTGGGGGAGCGGCGGGCCCAGGGAAGGCAGAACGAGGGGGAGGGGCGACGAACCCGAACGCCCAGTGGAGGGCGACAAGCCAATTGGGCGAACAAGCGGGCCCAGAGGCAGAGAGCCAATGGAGCAGCAGCCGACATGGGCGAGGTGCCAAAAGGAGCGACAGCGGCCAGAAACCCGTAGCCGGCGCTGGGAAGGTGGCCAGAAAACCAAGCAGAAGGGGGGGGACACAGGCACCGAAGCGAGCGTCGCCCGGCTTGCGAAGCGGCGGGCCCCACGCATGGGCGCGAGAAGAAGGCAATCCTCGAGCGGCTGGAGGCTCGCGGAGGGGGCACCGAACAGGTGCGCGATGAAAAGCAGCCACGAGGGCAGGGCGCTCCGCTTGTCAAGTTCGCGATGCCATTCAGCGTGTCAATCGACTTGCGCGCCTTTCTTCCAGCAAAACCTGCGAACGTCGTAATTGACCTCGCTGAGGTCATGTACGAAACATCGGCAGAGTTCAGGGTTCTGACGCTGCGGGGCCTTTGGCGGAGTGGACCCAGACTCCTGGTCGCAGATGGCGTTCCACCCGATAGTGAGCATGGGGCCACATTATTTCTTGAGGCGGTTGATCACCGCTCTTCAGTCCCCCCTTGCATTGTCTCGGTGGTTCCAGGTAGGGCACCAGGTCACCCGGTGTCTCGGCTCGATATAGAGCCCGTCATTGTTGTCTGATTTCAGGCGCGGGCAGTACGAAGGGGGGCGGGTGGCGCGGCGCCGGCCCCAGTCTCCAAGGCGGGGCGGTCTCGGTCGAGCCTCGCCCGCGCCACCAGGGGCGCGCCTGCGCTGCACTGTTCGCTGGCCCCAGGGGTTTTGCGCACTGGCTCCTCCTCTGCGGCCCGCGAGGTGCCGGGACTGGGCCGCGCTGCCAGCGGGTCCACGGCGCGTGCTGGGCTGGAGGAGGGGGGGGTGCGCTGACCGCTGGCTGAGAGGAATTGCCGGGGCTGCGCCTCTTCCCAGAACGCCCGCTGGCAGGATTGTCCGGGGGGGGCCCCCACTCCAGTCGAAGGGGCATTTGCGGGGGGGCTCGCGAGAAGCAGAGCGGGAGCTGGAGCTCCTCCCCGCCCGCCCCGCCGAGCTTCTGGGAGGGCATCAGACGACCAAGCGCGCCCATCCTTGCCACCAGCGCGGATCGGCGCAGTTCTGCACCCCGAGGAGGCGGGGAACTGGACGGGGGCGCGCCGCTCCGCGTCTGGCCTCGGCGGCGCTGGGGGGCGCGGCAGTCTGGGTTGCTCCGCGCGCGGGGAGCTGCCGCTGGGGCGCTGGGCTGCCGACTCTTCCTTGGGCGCTGAATCTGAAGGGCTGGGCAGCAGCTGCTCGCGGGGGGTCAGCGCCGGGGCGGGCTTCCGTGAGGGCGAGAGCCTCTTCTTTCCAGTGGTTGCACGGAAGTCCCGCACGCGCGGGCGCTGTAGCGACGGGATCCCTTTTGACTCCAAGTAGCCGAGCAAGACTTCCCGGCTGCGCCATGCCAGGTCTCGCCCTTTCCCGGACGCTCCGGGGTCGCGCTTGCTGCGGCATGCATCCCATTCGTCGGGCGCTTTGCGCGAGCTGGCGGAAGCATGGGAGATCTGCCGATTCAGGCGGTTAACCAGGAGGGCCAGGGCGGCGCGCTCACCGCCTCACTGGACTCCCGCGGGGATCCCAGACGGCGGGATGGAGGTCGCCGTAGATGGAGGCCAGGAACTCCCGGCAGCATGCTTCGGGCCAAGCTCTGGGGCCAGAGAGGGGGCCCATGCCTCTCTTGGGCCGGCGCAGCGAGGAGTCAGCGTTCCTCGCCGCCCATGTCCTCCAGCGCTCGTCGACCTCCAGAGAGACTGCTCGGACAAACGTCACCATGACGCGCACGGTCGCGTTGCCGGCGCCCCTAGGCGCTTTGTCGGGATGGATGCGCCTGGCCGCCTGCAGGGCGGCAATGGCCCTCGCATTCAGGCGGGAGCGTGCCGGCAGGTCAACGCTAGGGAGGCCATCCAGGAGGCTAGGGGGGGGGCGCCGCAGGGTCGGCTGTCCGTTCCGCCCGCGAGTTGCCGCTCGCCATTGGCACTGAGGCTGACCAGCTCTGCCAGCGACGCGCCCTGGGGAGGGGGCCGCGGGAACCCGCGGGGCGGCCGCCGGATGAAGTCCTGCCCCGCCGCGCGGAGGCTTGCTGCGAGGCACCGCGGCCGCCGGCGGTCGGGGGCGCGCGCGAGGTTGCCCTGTGATCGTCGGGTGAGCAGGGGCATGATGATTCCGTGGTGGACCTGCCCCTGGGTGGGTCGACGTCGCCCGGTCTGTCTGCGCGCGCGGCTGGCCAGGGGCGGGGACGCTGCCGAGGGGAGGTGCGGAGGTCGGAGGTGCCCGCAGCCCTAACTACTCGCTGGAGGTCAGCGTTCGGGAGAGTGGCGCAGGCCCCTATCGGGTCGGAGTGGGGGGACGGGGACGGACTGCTGGGCCGGCCGGGTGCTTGCGAGGTCCTGGGCCCAGGAAGAGTCGACCCCTCGCCTCTTTTGCGCATCTCTTGAGGGAACAGGTCGCGACCGCCCCTGTCGAGGATGATCCGGATCTGACTGGGGCGGGCATCCCACAGATGCATAAGGCAATCCTCGCAGAACCAGGTGGCGTTCCACTGCATGTTGGCGAAGGCTTGGGCGCGCTCACTGGGTATAGGAATGCCTCCATGCAGATGCAGCTGCACTTCCTGCCCGGGGCAGAAGATAAACACGTCCTGGGGTGCGCCCCCGCATGGCCACTGCCTCATTGGAACGTCCCCTGGGCAGCGATCGCACTGGAATTTCCAAAAGCCACAAATGAGGTTCCTGCCGAACCTGTCGTCTATGGTGCGGCACACGAGAATGGCGGCGCGCGCGTGAACGGGGCCACGCGGGCCCGTCGGGGCCAGTAGGAGGTCTGCCAGTGAGGTGGTCTCTTGGACGGGGAGGGCGGGTGGATCACCTGGCAGGGGGCCGGCCGGGGGGGCAGCGCAAGCCAGTACGCTGTGGACCGAGGGCGGCTATAGGCGGGCCACCACCTTGCCGTCGGCCGGCGCGGGCAATCCTTCGACTGCAAGGTTGGTGCGCCAGCACCGGAGCAGAGCCAGCGACAGTCAGCTCCACGGCGATAGAATTCCAGGCGGCTTGCATCAACCATGTTCCTGACCAGAACACGACATAACAGAACATAACCGATCATAACATAACACTCCTTGACAGAACATGTCATACCATGGCACAGCAGCACAGAACATTTCATATTACGACAGAAGAGCATAGCGACGTCGAACACCACAGAACACAACAGAACACGACAGAGCAGAAGACGAGCATGACAGAACAGCACATAGCAATGCCATGACAAAACAGGGCATAGCAAAATTTCACATAACAAACCAGAGGAGAACATGACAGAACAGAAGACGAAAACTCACAACAGAACAAAACACAGCCGAGCATCACATAATACACCTTGACAGGACATCTCATATCATGACAGCATCACAGAACATATCATAACACGAAATCAGAGCATAGCGACACATACTAGCAGAGCAGTTCATGTTATACTATACAGATATACAGGGACGAGCCGTCAACAAACATAACATCACAGAACATACCAGAGCAGAACATGACAGAATTGAAGGCGACAGAACAGAACATAACAGAGCCAAGCAGAACATAACACGCCATGACAGAACAAATCAGAACATAGCATGGCATCATCACATAACATATCATAACACACCAGCATGGCGCAGCGGCAC